ATTTGGGAAATGTTGTGTACTTCGGTATGCATCTCAATTGGACCTGATATCAGGCAAGATTACCCGCTGAACTTAAGCATATTAATAAGCGGAGGAAAAGAAACTAACAAGGATTCCCCTAGTAACGGCGAGTGAAGCGGGAAGAGCTCAAGCTTAAAATCTCCGTGCAAGTTTTGCGCGGCGAATTGTAGTCTATAGAGGCGTGATCAGTGTGGGCGCTTGGGGCAAGTTCCTTGGAAGAGGACAGCATGGAGGGTGATACTCCCGTTCATCCCTGAGTTGCTCGTGCGTACGATCCGTTTTCTTTGAGTCGCGTTGTTTGGGAATGCAGCGCAAAGTAGGTGGTAAATTCCATCTAAAGCTAAATATTGGTGCGAGACCGATAGCGAACAAGTACCGTGAGGGAAAGATGAAAAGAACTTTGAAAAGAGAGTTAAAGAGTACCTGAAACTGCTGAAAGGGAACCGAATCGTTTCCAGTGTCTATAATCCGTGGTATATTTCATTGGCGAGTGTGTGCGTGCGTGTGCTGTGGCAGCGGCTTTTTTGGCTGCGCTCGGCGTGTGTGCTGTGTGTGCTTGCTGGTGCCCTGTGCTGCGGTGGGACGTCAAGGTCAGTTCGTATGCTGCGGGAAATGGCCGCCGAGGAGGTAGGGCTTACGCTTGCGTTTGTCTGTTATATCTTGGTGGACGAGTAGTCGCGGTTGGGACTGAGGTGCCTACAACGTGTTTTTGAGTGGGCCTGTGTCTCTGTGTGCGCCGTGTGCGGATAGCTTGCTATGCGTGTGTGGTTGTGTGTGGATTGATGTGGGTTTTAACTTGTTGCCGTTCGGGACGTTGACGAAATGGAGCGATTTGACCCGTCTTGAAACACGGACCAAGGAGTCTAACATGTGTGCAAGTGTTAGGGTGTGGAAACCCCAGCGCGAAATGAAAGTGAAGGGCAGCGTAAGTTGTCTGAGGTAGGAAATGCTGCGGGCTTCGGTCTGCGGTGTGGCACTATCGACCGATCATGAACCTTCGTGGTGAAAGATTTGAGTTTGAGCACATATGTTGGTACCCGAAAGATGGTGAACTATGCCTGAGTAGGGTGAAGCCAGGGGAAACTCTGGTGGAAGCTCGTAGCGATTCTGACGTGCAAATCGATCGTCAAACTTGGGTATAGGGGCGAAAGACTAATCGAACCATCTAGTAGCTGGTTCCCTCCGAAATTTCCCTCAGGATAGCAGCAACTTATTTACGATAGTTTTATGAGGTAAAGCGAATGATTAGAGGATTCGGGGAAGAAACTTCCTCGACCTATTCTCAAACTTTAAATCTGTAAGACCTGCAGGTTTCTTAATTGAACTTGTGGATGTGAATATCAAGTTGCTAGTGGGCCATACGGGGTAAAGCTCGTCTGGCGATGCGGGATGAACCGAACGCAAAGTTAAAGTGCCAAAATGCTCGCTCACCTAGATACCATAAAAGGTGTTGGTTCATTTAGACAGCAGGACGGTGGCCATGGAAGTCGGAATCCGCTAAGGAGTGTGTAACAACTCACCTGCCGAATGAACTAGCCCTGAAAATGGATGGCGCTAAAGCGGGCTACCTATACTTTGCCGTTAGCGCGATAGCATTTATAATGTACGCGTTAATGAGTAGGAGGGCGTGAAGGTCGTGAAGAAGCTCGTGGGCGTGAGCCTGAGTGAAACGGCCTTTAGTGCAGATCTTGGTGGTAGTAGCAAATATTCAAATGCGAACTTTGAAGACTGAAGTGGAGAAAGGTTCCGTGTGATCAGTAATTGGACACGGGTGAGTCGATTCTTAAGAGATAGGATAATTCCGTTTGAAAGC